GCGTATCGTGTGCCGCTGCTGCCTGCATTATTATAATACCGAACTCGAATTACCGACGCTCGACGCGCGATCGTACGATTTTTACAGTCGATTCGTTCTCTGCGTATTGTCTTTGAGCTTTCGTTCTTTCTTTCTGCGCTGCGTGTGTGTGTGTGTGTGTGTGTGTGTGTGTCTGTGCACGTGGTGTGCGTCAAATATATAATACACGAAAGCGAGATTGTTATAAATGCGCGCGCGCGACTTTTTTTTCAATGTCATAATTAACATGAAACGTACGTATGTATACGTATACGTCAAAGTCGAGGTATATAGTAACCCAGCTCGCGCGAGTTTCGCTTACATAATGTTAACATATGTCGTCGTGTGTATGTACCCGAATTTTGCGAACGGGCGCGCGCGCGACTTTTACCCGCGCTATATTGTAACGAGCGAGATCGAATGAACTTGGCCATATCCTCGACGGTGCATTAGACCCCAAAAATGCCGGGTCGACCTCTCTCTCTCTTTCTCTCTTATGCTCTCTCTATACGTATCGTATTATAAGCTATTTTCAAATCCCATACACACACCTGCGCCGTCGGTCGTTGCTGTGCGCGCAAAAGTAGCGAGGCGGCGCTTGTACACGCACACACACACTGTATACCAATACACATAATAATGCGTACGCTGCAGCTTGAATGTGTAGTATATAGTAGATATATAGAGAGCAAAAATAAAACGGCGTCGCGCGCTCTGAGTGGCCAGTTGGACGTATCGTACGATGTGTGCCGGCGTCGTCGTCGTCGTCGCCGCCGCTTAGCTCTATTATGTATATAGTGTGTGTGTGTGCTTTTTATAATAGCATACGAACAGAGAGGAGTAGAGGCGCCCGATGGCCACACGAAAATAACCTTCGGGCATGCCGCTGCGTCGCGTCGTCGTGGAGCGACTGCACCGGTGCGTATACCGTACACTGTATATAGATATATATAGGTGGCCGCAAATTTATAACGCACACTGCAAGTCGCAGAGGAGGCTCGACTCTTTACTATCGTTGATTCTACTGATTCCTTACGATTCGAACTTCTGCGCCGAGAGAACACAAGGGAAGCCGTGTCATCGCGTGCTGCCCATATTATATACCTATTACCTACATGCCGTTGGCGATTTCTGACCCTCTCCGTTCTGATCGGAAAGTAAAATTGAAGCTCGCGCTCGCGGGGGGATGAATTCTAATTCTATACCTTTATAATACACGTATGCGCGTTTCTTTCTTTGACTGTCGAACGTTGTATACGAAAAGCAGTTGGTAGCTCTCGTTCTCTCTCTCTCTCTCTTTCTTTTTTTTTTCTTTCCTTACGAACGTTTCTTTTTAAGGGATCGTACGATATATAGGGGCGAGATCTCTACGGGCCGGCTGCTGCTGCCGCTGAATTTCCCTTTGTCGCATTACTATACGCGCCAGGAGAAAGAGAGAGAGAGAGAGGAGGACGCGGAAGAAAATCGGAAACGATCATCTCGAGGGATGAACAAACGAGCGAACGATTTGCGCGCGCGGTCTAACTCAAATAATGATGTACATGAGGTAGTATATGGTATACCGCGCGTGCGGCCGTTTATAATAATAATCGCGACCTTTTTCATACACGTCAAAGAGAAAAAAGACCCCGTGTGTAATAACGTATGTCACGCGTGCGTACATGGATTATACTATTTTCTTTCGTGTATTATATCGATATAAAATTCATTTGCCCTCGCGCGCTATGCATCGACTCGAGTGTATGTATACACAAAATATACTTTGTACATCGTCGCGAGTTTATGTACACCGGGTAAACGATTATTATTAACTTGCTGCACACCGCGTACGAGATAATGCGTGTAACGATCTTTTCTTCTTCTTTTTTATTATGCGTGTCGTGCGCGCGAGATCGCAAGGCAGCAGTCAATCTCTTACGAGTCAAGCTCGTTGTTATATACGCACGCACTTGGTACATTATATGGAGATGTTAGTTTTATTACCCTGAAAAACGAGGTGAATACGCGTCGTACAGCACTTAATTTGACGTCTGCGTCAAATTGATGCATGTATTTATATGTGTGTGTGTGAGTGTGTAAGAGTTCCGATCGTACGAGTTGCTCGTAATATGTGTAACGCCACGACGGTCGCGGCGATCGAGTCATTACGCGAGCTTATAGTATATGTATAAACATTCGTAGAAGTTGAATGAAAAAAAAAAGGTCGCGACGACGGAGAGAGAGAGAGAGAGAGAGAGAGAGAAGAAAAAAAAGGATAAATTGCATATACGTCGTAAATCCTTGAAAACCTGTTTGTCACGATCTGCTTGTAATTCCGATGTATATATATAAGTGTCGGGCACGAAAGACACATGCACGCGTCGATATCTATATCTGCCACCGTATTATATGTACATGCAATCCGATCAAAAGTGGCAATTTTTACCGCCGACACCCAGTGCAGCGGCAATTCATTATCACTGCTATATTTATCATTGTACTACACTCGATATCGCCAGACAGACGGACGCAGCGGTTGCCGATTTTTTTCTCTCTCTTTTTCAATTAATTCAATAACGATAAGGCAATTATTGTAATTATCGATATACATGTGCGAACGAAAGCGACACTTGAATTATACATTATTATATACGCAATTACGCACGGATTATTAAAGCGCAATAAATCGCGACGATTTGTCAACGCACGAGTCAACGCCGCGCGCGAAGATTTTATAAGCAGACACGAGAGATATTGATCGATCGTTCGGAAATCGGAATCGTATGGATTTTTTTTTTGTCACTTTATATTATTTCTTTTTTTGCGCGGAGGCTCGCCCGAGAGCGCTTCGTTCATTCATAAAAGCGAGTTCACAGATGGCTATGTAGTTATTAATGACATTTATAAATAAAATACAATAACGGAATAGTACGCGCGTAAAAATCATCCGTTTCGACGTCACACTCTATACTACTCGCGCCAGCGCAGACTGTGCGTCGAGACTGAGACAATAATAATAAAAAAAAAAAAAAAAAAAACGGCACTCGATACACACATTTAACGAGAATTGCCTCGATTCTTATATTTATCGACTCGCGCGCGGGTTTTTTTTTTCTTACTTAAGTGTTTACTCTAATCTCGCACGCGCCTTTTGTACAATATTTATCGCGTCTCGGCGCGATTTTTATATTTTCGCGATGCACATGTAACAGAGAGACACTATACGTAAACGCAACGTTTTTAAACTATTTACTCGTGGAAAATTGCTCGGATTTTTCCTTTTCGCTCCTGCGACGATGAAAAAGAGTCAATTGACATAGCGACGAATTTCCAATTGTGCCCCATTATATGTCTATAGGAGCTTCGACGAGCGTTACGCAATGATAATAAGCCACTTCGAGGCAAATCGTGTAACACAACGCTAATTGCCGACTTTGAAAGTGTCGCCGCGCGATATAGTTTTTGGCATGACGAAATATCGATGATCGACGACGTCAGATGCAGTCGCGGCGAACGATTGGAAGAGATCAATCGATGCACTCGAACGACGACATCGTTTTGCAGCCGCACCGTGTAAAATTGAAATATTCGGCTGCTCTATTGTTTCTTGAATCATTGAAATAATATAACCGAAGACAACGACGACGGTGGCGAAATAATATCGCCCGTGCATTTATTATAACCATATTGTTGCGCATATGTAACAACGCATCGTCTGGATGGATGGATAATCGCGAATCAAACGGCCGAACGAGTCTCAATTGGATTGAATTTGACGGTCGATATTGATTGCTCAAGGGGTCAGATGCTCGCTGCTGCCGATACATGCGTTGCGGAGAAGAAGAAAAAGAAGAAGAAGAAAAAAAAGACGATGAAATTAACGATGATTATATACGTGCGCGCAGGCCTCCGTGCGCGTGTATGTACGTATTGCGGAGTTACGTTCGTGTGCAGATGGGCTCGACTCTGCGTCACTATATAATATTAACGAATCTCCCGCGTTGCGTCGTCGCCGTAGTCGTCGTCGTCGTCGTTCGTCGATGACGACTTTTTCAGTTGGCCGATAAACGAAAATTGTACGACACATGCATCGGAGAGCGAGAGAGCTGTCGTCGTTACATACCGCCGTAAATGCCCGTTATCGGCGACTTTCAATGTATAATGGGCGAAAGACAATTTGCCTTTGTTGCGGGAAAATTCAATCGCCTTTCGGGATGATGATTATATACGCAGGCCGCGATCGCAATTATTTTTCTCTCCTTTTTTTTCAGTTTATACGCACTCGAGAGCTTCGTACAATAGGCTCGCGATTGGAAAGTGTCCACTGCTCGGGCTCCGATCGATAATACATTTTAACGTTAACAACTTTGAGTGTTGCTAAATGTTTTTTTATTTTTTTGTTTGAAGGAAAAAAAATTCATTTAGTACGCTCAAGGACGCTGTTAACGTCGTATCCTCGATTTATTAATTATTCAATATCGTGTTTTCCTTTTCTCTTGGATCCTCTCCCTCCACGATCTTCAGAAAAATTTGGAAGATGCGCGAAAGTTATAAATCTCGGTAAATTTTTTTTTCAAATTGCTACGCTAATGCCCCTTTGCTAGACTTGGCCCTACTCATTTTTCTCTATAAGGCGACGGCGCGAGAAGGACGAACAAAAAAATAATTAAAAATTTTTCTCGTTATAACCAAGAAGAAGAAAAAATGGCGAGCGCGACGACGACGATTATAAATCCTCGAAAGTTGACTGGCGCGCGCGGATCTCGCGATTTAGAGCGAGATCGTAGCCCAGCGATAATATAATGACGAATGGCTCTTATGAAATTTCGGGATATAACCGTAGCCTCGCGCGCGTCGCGTAGCTGCAGGTTTTACTATAATATAAAATACGCGATCTTGACACGTTGTTGAATAAATTTTATTATACATAACATATCCTTTCGAACTTTATAAATTAAAAATTTTTTTATTGAATTTATCGTAATATTTTGTTGCCTGCTCAGATTCAAGCAACGAGGAATGGTTCGAGGACGAACTAGCGCTGTCTTCGGCGGCTCACTACTACTGCTGATCAGCTTCGCCATCTTCTTGGATCGCACCGTGAGCGCCAATCCGGTCGGAAGCCCGACGTCTTCCGCCGCCGTCGACTCTGCGCCGCCGCGCGTCTACGCAGTGGGAATCGAGCTGCGCGAGCTCGACTACGAGGACGCCTGCAAGCCCCTGGCCGAGGCCGAGTGGCAGTTCGTTCACGACCCGAGCGATCCCTACGCGGCCAAACAATGGGTACGTAAATTATACATTTATTACAAAAAATGCCTACGATTAAAAAAAAAAACATTTTTTTACTCAAACAACGCGCCTATTCTTTTTTGCCAATGTAGAAAGAGGCGGCTAACAACTTCGCCCGCTACCGTAGAGAGGAGAGCAAGATCACGGCCGAGCAATTGAACGGCACGATAAGCGCCGAGTCGACCTGGGGCTACAAGCTCGACGTGATCGAGCATCCGGGCGACGCGGCTCTCAGCGATTCCGATTACAATAAAGTGAGTATTCGTTGCTTCTCTTTCTTCGTAAAACGAAATTCAACGAATGCATGTACGAATAATCTCTCCTCCCGCGCAGTTGGTGACGCTCGTCGCGGCTAATCGCGCGCTCAAGGCGACGACCAGATACAACGATGGGGCGCGAAATCTCACCCGCCAAGGTATGCAAAATGAAAAAAAAAATTTGAACGTACGCGATATGTATTGACGCGCCTGTCTCACACGACGCTCTCTGTTTCGTTTTGTGCCACGCATTCACAGAAGTCGAGGCTCTGCTCGCGCACAATGGCAAGGAGGGTGAAAAGTTGAAAGCCTGGACCTTTTGGCACCAGCAGTACGCCGCTCAACTCAAGGATTACTCGAGCGTGCTACAGCTCACTCAAAAAGCCGCCCTAGAAAATGGTTAGTGTACACAAAAACACTCCACTACATTATTGTACACACACGCATCGCTGCTTACTCCTTTTTTTTCTCTTACATTTTTTTTGTAATCCCTTTGCTCTGCGCAGCTCTTTTATATGCATTGCACACGATATGTACATCGTGGAGTCATTTTGACACATTCGCTCACCGGGGCTCTTTTTTCCGCAGAAAAATCCGACGTGCGCAGCTATTGGGAAATGCTGGTCGGCGAGGCCGACGCCTACGAGCATCTCAAGTATCAATTGGACGGCCTGAGCGAGCTGCAGCAAAAGCTCGTGAATTTCGCGCGCAAACGCCTGGCGAAGAAGTACGGCGCCGCGGAAATGGCCAACGACAGCCTGCCCGCGCACTTGCTCGGTAATTATTTGATAATTTGCGAAAAACCTTTTTTAACGATGATCATTGAAAAATTGATTCACCTTTTGCCTTTGAAGGTTCTCTGAGCGGCAACGATTGGACGTATTTGGCCTTTGACGTGATGCCCGAGCCCGACGTAGTTTTCAATCTCAGAAAGAAGTTCTGGGAGAAGGTAGGTTGTCGATCATTTTCCTACGTGGATCTTTTAAAGGAAAAGATGATTTTAACGTTTTCGCGTTTATCTTTCTTGATATAGAAAATGATGGGCAAAATGCTGTACAAATCGGCGTCCTCGTTGGGCAAGAAATTTTTAGGTACGGCCCCGCTGTCGGACTTTTGGACCGAGAGCATCTTCAAGGACAAGTGTCCGACCAAACTAGTCAATTTCTGTCTTAAGGATAAATTGAGGTATTTAATATTTCCTCCATTGATTCGATCAAGTCGATAGAACAAATAAAACTAATCGTCGAATTCTCTCGCTCGACAGAGTGTCCACTTGCTACGAGCCCTCGCTCTCGAATTACCTGACCGCGCACAAAAACATTGCCAAAGTATTACTGCACCAAATGTCGTCCAAGAGTCCCATCATCGCCGAGTCCAATCGTTACTCCGTCTTGGAGGAGGCCGTGTCGGAATTCTTCTCGATTCTCGCGGCGAGCCCGGCCTGGCTGAAGCATCTCGGCCTGCTGGACAAGTCGATGGGCGAGGAGGAGGCCAAGATCGCGTCCATGACCATCACGGCCCTGGACGTGCTGCCGAGACTGGCGTACTACGTCGCCGCCGACAAGTGGAGGCTCGACGCGCTCGAGAAAAACGAGACGCAGGACTTGAAAAAATTGACCTCCGACTGGTGGAGCAATAGGTAAATTGTATACCGTAGTAACATACGGCGCTCTCCCTGTAATCTCCGCGCGAATTTTGTCGCTAATGTATGACGTTGTGCAATGTTGCAGATTGCAGTATGAGTTCGTTACCTCGGCGACCAACGATTTGCCAACTTTCTTGGACGACGAGCATATCGTTGGCAATAGGCCTTACTTGTCGAAGGCTTTGGGCATCCTGTTGGCTTTCCAGATGTACGACTACGTTTTCAAATCGACCGAAATCAGACAGGAACCATTCGACAAAAGCCTCTTCAACAGCCACATAGTGTGAGTATAAAATAACATACGTAGGTTTGAACGAGAAAGATAGAAATTTTACGCTTTTATCATTCGCTCACAGGCACATGGCGCAGAGGAGCTCGGACAACTGGAAGTTCCTGATCCGAAAGTACATGGACATCGAGACCATACAGTCGGGCAAGATCAGCGAATACTTCGAGGAGCTCGAGTACTTCATGGAGAGCTACGACGAGTCCGCCGAGAGCTACGACTTCAACGCGCGCGAGCTCGAGCTCGAGAAGATGGAGAGCGACTATCGCAAAGTGGCCAACGCGCCGCGCCCAACGACCACCACCACTACCAGCACCACGACAACGACCACGACTACGTCGAGGCCGAGCGGCAACGGCAGCGGCAGCGACAGCGGAAGCGAGTCGACCTCGAGGCCGCCCATGAAAGCCAAGACGCCGACGATCAAGTCGATGGACAGCGCCGACGACGACAAATCGGCGATCAAGCCGCTCGACACCAACTACTGGGACGAGAGCGAGCGGATGCTCGAGGACGAGCAGGCGGCCTCGGACGAGGCCAATCGCGCCCAGAAGGCCGGCGCGAGCAGGGCCGTGTGGGCGGTGGGCGCGGTGCTCGTCGCCACGGTGGTCATCTGCATCATCGCGATAGTCGGCCGGCGACGCTGCTCCAAGACGCCGAAGAACCGACGCTACGTCTAGGATTTGGCCGAGGCGGCGGCGTCCGATACCCCGCCCCACCAAGGGAGGATACACGACGACGGCGATGACGACGACGATGTTGTTCCCGATCTCGCAGATGCCGATCGACTGTCACATTCCATTGTTTTACGATTAAACAAAGACGACGACGAAGAGGAGGATGAGGAGGAAGAGGTCGAAAGAATTTCGTAAATGCTCGACGCTCTTTTTGTGTGATATAACCGTGTGAACTGATGCATTTTTTGGTCGATCAGTCCTCGATATCTTTTCGATCTTCCTCCTGCTGTTCTAACAAAAAGAAGCATTGTTCAGCTCGTATAAGCTCGTCGTCCGTAAGATACGATAATGCCAAATATATGTAATAAAATTATTGAAGCTTGCGGGGGTGTCTCTCACGTACGAGCCGTGAAAGACTTGTCATAGGAAAGAAAAGTATAAGAGTATCATCGCTTATCGATGATTTTACAATAATCAATCGCGAATGACCAGTATTTGTGCTTCGCTGAAAATATATTGAAATCCGCATTGACTTCCAATGGTGAAAATTGAGTAGCTAGAGGTATAATGTGAAAGTTTTTTGTCGTAAAAGTACTGCCATTTTATGAACGTCTGTTTTTTGTAAAAATGTTATATTCTAAGCCGGATTTTTTTTTTTAATAACCAAAATTTCGTACTTTTTCATTTTTGCAACGTGTGTATACCAGAAGTAGACTTTTTTTAGTAGAAGATGACGTCTTTTTGCTTTGTGTCAAAATGTCGATATTCTCGCGCGTTTTTATATCGTGTAAATATATGTAGCAGAGAATTTTTATAAAACGCGAAAAGAATGACATTTACTCCAATCAATAGTTGCGTAAACTCGCGCAGAGAGTCGCACGTTGATCGCGAGTGATCTTTTGTAAGCGATGCAAGAAATCTATGGAGTGATGAGAATTGTCGCAATCAACAGTATTTTCTATGTACTGTATAATTGAATAAGTTTATGTAGTATGACAATGTTATTTGGTAGGCTCATCGATGTATTTTTACGTGATTTTCATAGTGTCGAAGAAGTATGTTTTCCAACGAGAATCATGAAATCCAAGTTAGTTCCTCGCATAATAAGTTTTGTTTTGTGGTTGTTATATGAATGAGTGCTCACATTAGAATAAAAAAAGTAAAGCACAAAAACTCTGAATTATCGCCTATGTACATAGAATGAAAAATAAGAGCATCAAGTAGATTTAAGGTAAACTATTACGAGATTTATGATAAAAAAAATTATTATTACTGTAGATAAATCGTAAACCGGTCGCGTTTCTTTGTTTTTTTTTTGTTTTTTTTTAAGGTGCGTTTTTAGCGTAATGAACTCGTGTATAGTGGTCAATTTTTTATGCCTGTAATTTATACACATATATAAATCTTGTTGTATTGTAAATTGGTCGCAGAGAGGCGAGCACGCGCGCCACGACTGGCTAAACAGTCATTGTATTTGTAATGAATGAATCTATTTGGACGTTGCTGCGTCAATGTCGCGACCGTCGCGCATTATTTATGCACTCGTTATGAGAAAAGTGCCCGTGTCGTGTGCGTTTGCGATTAACGAGTGCGTTAGTTTGCAATGACTCGTAAGGATTTATATTTTTTATAAAAATGATTTATCTGTACCGATATGCAGCCGCGTACGAATTTATAGAAACGAATTGAAATAAAAGATTACAACGTAAGGTACAGGGAAATAAGAGAAATGTTGATCATTATTTATTCGTACCCAATTTATTTGATTTAACTTTGATGTGTGTTTTGGTGTGCTTGAAGCACACTAAAAAAGGTCATGGTTTTTACAAAAATTGAGAATTCATATTTGAATCTGTAAAGTTATTCAATTCATTGAACAATATTTTTAATTCAACATTTTTGTTGTATTTTTTATGTTTATATTGTATTCCGATTACATTTTATACCATCGATGGGTAAGAAACTATGAAGAATCTATCGGTAAGCTGATTCAAAAGAATATCGCGAATAAAATAGATTTTGGGTCTAGTTGATGGGCAGACAGTTATTTTTCAAATAATCACTTCACCTGCATTAATCATATTATTGGAAATATCTGTCGACTTTTTACTCGGTCTTTGCAATGATAGCTTCCTTACCGACTTTAATTTCGGTTCATTTCTTATATATTGATTGATCGTTATCTTGATAAGACTATTATCAATTACACAATCTTAGTGACATAATGATCAAGGCAGTTTCGAAGAACATTGGCAAATATTAAGTTAACTCGAAAGTGAACCGAATGTTTGAAACAATCATTTTATAAATAAAGAGAAACTTCGGTCACTTTTCAGTATACATTTTTAAAATTAAATAATCTTAATATTGTCTTGATTGTTGCATCAGCGATAGAGACAACAAAAAAATCATCGAACTCGCGAACGACTCTTTGCGAATCGATCCGAGCGATTTGAGAACGTACGGTGGAGGTGGCAGCAGCAGCTTCGGTGTGCGATCGTAATTGCAGTGCCAGAGAAATCCCATACACTCGCTTATCGTCTGCAGCGAAGTACGGAGAGCAGCAAAGTACCCCAGTAACACAACTCACGCAGAGAGTACATTGGAGGTTTGGAGTCTGCAAGTACGAGAAGTAATTGCTACGAGTCGGTAAGTCATTTAAAAGGATTCGTTTTCATTCAATTATTATGGTTATCGATGAAAAATACGCATCGAGTATTGCCGCTATCTTCGCTACTGTGTTGTTATATATACAACTCCAGAAACATCACGTGTATTACGATAGCCCCTGTAGCACCTTCTGTCCGAGATACATCCGCGTGTCTACGGACAGATGCGCGCAGGAGTGCGTTATGTGTCGCAGCAAAGCTTCGGCTTTATTTTAATTTCATTTTTATTTTTTCATTTTGTTGCAGGCTATTCAATGCTCATCTACCCGATCCTCGCCAGTTTGTGCATCGGTGGAGGCTTGCTCATTAGACCCGCGAGCTGGTGAGTCCTCGTCAGTTCCGATCTTTCGATCGAATATCCACATAAAATAACTCGTTTCCTCCCCCGCTTATATATTCGTCGCAGCGCCAAGATGATGCTGTTCGACTTCACGAAGCCCGACGCCGAGCAACGGCTGCAGTCCTGGCACGAGTCGTCGGACACGGTGCGCGAGGTCGGCCAGTCCAAGGCCACCCTGGTGCTGCAGCGCACCCAGCTCTTCCAGCGCGCCGTCTTCTTCGCCCTGCTGAATCCCCAGCCGAACGGGGCCGGTTTCGCCGGGGTGCGCACGGCCGTCGCCTGGGACCTGCGCGGCCGCCGCGAGCTCTGCCTGCGCTACCGCGCCCGGGGCCAGCTCGAGCGCTACAAGCTGGTGCTGCGCCACCGGGGCCAGCACTCCAACGACGACGTCGAGTACGAGCAGATATTCCGGGTGCGCAACGAGCCCGAGTCCATGGGGGAGTTTCGCGAGGCCCGACTGGCGCTGGCCGATTTCAAGCCGTACTGGCGCGGCCGCGAGCAGCCCCAGGCGCCGCCACTGGATTTGGAGCACGTGAGCATGATCGGTCTGCAGGTGTTCGGCGGCGTCTACATGGATTACAAACAGTCCGGCGTGGGTTCCATGGAGATAGACGCGATCTGGGCCGACGAGGCCGACGATTCCAATTGATTACCTCGTTGAAGCGTCGTTATATGCGGAGCTGCGTGGATAAGCACGATGCTCGGGATACTCATTTTTTGGATATTTCAAATGTAATCGTTAGGACCTCGTATCGCGTTGCGATTCTACTCCAAAAGAATGAGAATAATTATCAACCGTTGTATTTCTCTTAATAAATCGTTTATAATAACACGTATGAAAAGTTTTGTGTTATCGAAACAAGACCCAGTGACATCGTACGATTTTTTTTTAAATCTTGATCATGAACGATCGAGTCAGTGTTATATGAATGATTTATCAACAAATCTCGAACCCACATATTTTTAACATAGTTTTCCAGCTTCCATCTTTTAAACATTACAATTTCCCAGTCTCATCGACTTACTCCTGTTGCACTTGCCGTAGCACTTTACATACGATGCCTGGATAAATAAACCTCATAACAATTTATATAGCCTTGAAGTACTAATAAAGACAATTTCCTCGTTAAAACCGCGATCCGAACTTTTTTGACTACGAAACTTTGAAGTTTATACTCATTTTTCGCTCGGATATGCTGCCGAAGTGATTGAACTTTAAAAATTCAATTTTTTCTATAGGATCGCATCAGTTGGCAGTCGTGGAACAGAATCAACAAAATTATTATATCGAATCCAAGTTGTGTGAAAGCAGCCTTACTGCAACGTAGTAGTCTCACTATTCAATTTTGTAGCGTCTGCATACGTCTGTCTAACTTTCTCTCTCGCACATGTGCGCATCCACTCGGACGGCAGACGGCTATAGCCGTTAAACGACACGTTTTTTACTTTCTCTCTACTATAGGTTAGTGTCGAATTTCATTTACTCTCTCTTTCTCTCTACATGAATATGGAATTCTATGCAGTATAGTCAGTCCACGTCACGACGCCTTAAAGTGAAGAAGTAAAGATCGCGACGACTGAATTAACACGTGATTTTCGTTAAAAAATTGATAAATATCTTAAATTACAAGTGACCGTGTGTTGTGTATGTGAGTGCTGAAAACAATGTACAAGATTGACGAAAATAAACAAATTCGTTACTATTCAATAGATACACCCGAATACCATGATTTTAAACGTCGTCGTTTTGGCCAAGACAACATAATAAAATTGAAAGCTATGCGTGAAAATGTCACATGGGAGGTCGAAGAGGAACGACGCGAATTTCTTCGTCGTCTTTATGATTTGATCGAAAATTGGACGGGCCAACTGCCGCATCTACGAGACATTTTCCGAAGGGATGAAATTGATTGGCTTGTCGCAGAGGAAGTGAAAAGCAACAAACCATGTTCATTTATGGACTTTGTTATCGAAACCGACTACAAAGACGAGCCCGACGTTGATAAAAACGGCAAGCCATCGCCACGTCGCACTACAGCAGTGCATCATTTGTTTGGAAAAGTTACAAAAGACTACAGGGGCCTCGTCCGCAAGCTGTTCAAAATATATAACAGATTTGACGTTAATTACACCGATGAATTTGGATTAACGCATTTCCATGTGGCGTGCAGGCATGGCTGCGAGTTAGTTGTCTATAAATTTCTCGAGCTCGGCCGAGTTGATCCCAATTGCCTCGTGCCAGAAACAGGTGACTCACCCCTGCACTTGATTCTCAATTACAGACCCAAGAAGACGTTCGAATTTCTGCTCAGAAGTGACGCCAATCCAAATTTAACCAATAAGAAAGGAATGACCCCTTTGCACGACATTTGCAAGAGAAATGACGATAACGTCCCATTGGCGAAGATGTTATTCGAGCTCAGCGACGAAAAATATCATCCAGTTCAAATCGACGCCCGAGACGAGTTGGGTAACACACCCCTACACTTGGCTCTCCAGAAAGGACACAACATGTTGGTAGAGTTGCTGCTAAAAAGAGGCGCCAGCACTCATTTAGCCAATTATAAGGAGGGATTTACCCCTTTGCACATAATTTGCAACAGTCACTCCAGCTATATTAGCGATTTGTTGAATATGCTATTCGAGCTCAGTGACGAAAAAAATCATCCAGTGCAAATCGACGCGCGAGACGAGTTGGGAAACACACCACTGCACTTTGCTCTGAATAATGGTACCAAAAAAGTCGTAGAATTGCTGCTGAAAAGAGGCGCCAATCCAAATGTGGCCAATAAGGAAGGATTGACCCCTTTGCACATTGCGTGCAATGGTAACTTCGACGATGAAGAATTGTTTGAGATGTTATTCGAGCTCAGCGATGAAAAATACCATCCAGTCCAGATCAACGCCCAGGACGATTTGGGTCACACAGCTTTACACTATGCTCTGGTTAGCCAGAACAAAAGTTTGGTCGAACATCTGCTGAAAGAGGGCTCTGATCCAAATTTGGCCACTAAGGAGGGATCGACATCTTTGCACATCATTTTCAATGATCGCCGCCACCATACAGAATTTGCAAAGATATTATTCGAGCTCAGCAATGAAAAATATCATCCATTGCAGGTCAACGCTCGAGACAAGTGGGGCCGAACACCGCTACAATTAGCCGTGGCGCGTCTTTCGCTGGATCAGGCTGATGTACTCTTGGATCATGGCGCTGATCTGTCCAATTTTGTTTTTCCCGATATGAATGTATCCGTGGATTATGAAAGTAGCAATATGAAATTGAAATTAGCGTCTCGCATTCTAGTCTTTCTTGAAAGTCTTGAAAAAAGAGGATACGAATTAGACCGAAGCGACGCCTTGAAGATTATGAAATTTTTTGCTGAATGCAAACTGTTCGAGGTCAAGTCGATGGATCTTGAAAAATCTTGGTATGACGACACGTTGTTCGTGATAGAAGCTAAAGAGATAATGTTTATTCCGAGTCTGTCGCTCTACGACTTGATGCAGTTACAACCCAAAGAGGCGGCTAAACAACTGACATTCAAAGATTACTTCGAGTTCGCCGGGTCGAAAAATTTTTTGTGGCTCTCAGAAAGATATAGAAAGGCTTGTGCTTTACATCTGTGCGAGAAACTATCCAGGGCATTTTTTCGGAGCTGGGCACTGGATTGTTTCTATGAAATTACACATAAACGACTGCCGCTTCTCTGCTGTGATATGGTCCTGGATGTGCTAGAGAACCAAGATTTATGTAATATTTGCTTGGCAACTCCAATCCAAAGCTCATGATAGCGATAAGTTCATTTTCGTTATTTTTGTAATGTCTGGTGTTATTTAATGTAGCAGACTTTCCATGTTATTCGAATAAAAAATGAGTACACCTAATCTATCCTACCTATCTATTTCAGAAATAGATTGCATTCTAAATTTTAATGAACTTTGTTTTCATAAAAGATCCAATTTTTGGTAAAGTATCATTGAATATTGTAAAAATTCCTATAAGAAAACTTATTAAAATGAAATATTGTAAAATACGAGTTTATTCACTGTCAATTTATGTTTATGTAAATTAATTATTTATAAATGTAAATTAATTTAAAAAAATGAGTTTACAATTTTAATGAAAATAAAATTTTGTATCAAAACATTGGTTTTATTTTTTAAGTATTTTTAAACGAATATAGTTGAATTTTCAGCTGATGGTTTTTATTTCAGAATTTAACAGAGTAAATTGCATCTAAGCCACGCAATTAGGATGAAAATTTGTAAATAAAAAAAGATTCGATAAAATACAGCTATGAAGTCGCGTCGGAATTATTCATCGTCGCGGAATCGATGGTACGACGGGCGACCAATGCTCCCAGCTCTTGATGATGTTGTAAGCTGCGTTGCCGGGGCTCAGGGTGTCTCGGCACTGTCTGTGGCCCAGCAGCGTGTAATCCCGCGCTATATGGCCGTGCTCGACGCCGTACTCGATGAGGTTGCATTAAAAAAAACAGACATTGCCTTCACTTATCCCATTTTAACGTATAGTAGCGAGGAGCGCGCAACACTAATGACAAAAATGTATTGTATAGCATAGACAAAACCTATGCTATGTTATCTTTACATTTTTCTCGCTTTTCAGAATCAATTTATAGTATAGGGCGTTATAGTACATTACGTCACTCGTGCGCGAAGTTGTTGATTCTCGCACGAGTGACGTATACTATTTTCTATCACGAGTTGTGGGAAGTTTTTATTTCCCGCGCGCTGTGATAAAAAAATATGAATAATACTCATTAGAGTAATTATAGCCGCGTTTTATCACAAAATGCTGAAAGATTGTCTCGCTACCACAGTGAAAAAGTCAGACTATCCATTACTGTTTGCGACGATTGTCCTGGGACTCACACTTGTCAGTCAGTGGCAATGGGGCATTAACAACGGGAAATATTGTTCATGACTGCTAAACTTACTATATATGTACAGTTATTTTTTCTTTGCCACTTGCAGATTTACAGATGAAATATACTTGACATCTAGTGGTGGATGCCTAAAGTGCTATTATCGTATTCAACTCAGCTGAAAAACTGACCTACATATTTGAAACAATTAAACTCTTATTTTTAGGTCATTTAAAGTTTAATCAATATTTTTAACCTTATTGTAACAGAAAAATCGACAAGAATGGGTCAGTTCTTGATCAGATATTTTAAAATATTTCAAACGGTCTTTTTTGATTCTTAGCTCATTATTAATTTTGTACATTTCTACAAGAATTACCATAAAACATGGCAATTTTTACTGTAGGTATTTTCTTCGTGATACTTGTGTGTGCAACAGCGACGACCGATGCTATTTTGATCAATACGAGTGCTGGCGCAGGCGTGTTGCGCTGGCGAGTCAGCTGCATTTGCGCGAACTCGAGTACGGATTTCGGCGGAAAGAATTCGAAAAGTTGAAATTGAAATCATTCATAGAATGACAAAAGTGGTAGTTTATTGAACTATCTTACAGAAATGATTTACGAAAAATAAGTTTTGAAAAATTTTAAAAACTCCTTGTTATTTATAACTGTAAGTATACGTATAGATTTATTACTCTTGTATCGTGTTACACAAAAAATATCATTCACCGAAGCATTGTTTTAACATTCGATGCAACGCGCATCGAGCCGAACAATCTATAAGAAACAAAAGAAAAAAATCGATTCTCTCGCGAAGAAGAACTTCGTAAGGGCGTAAAAGAAGAAGAATAAGAAACGACAAATTAAGCTCCCCTCGCGAAAAGAAAGCGCTATACGAGGGTCTTCCTAAGCCAAAGGGCAACACATATGACACTTGCGTCGAGACGAGACGCCGGCAAAAAGGTGTAACGACTGCGTATACGTAATAAATTGATCTGGAAGTTTTTACCGAAAAAAAATTATTGAACGTTCCGAGCGTATTTTAACGGTAAATTTGTTCAATGGAAAAAAGCTGTAGGAATTGAGGATTTTCACAACAATCCCGTGACTTCTGCCATCGATTAATTCACGTTTTCACGAAAAAGGCGTACTATTTCAAACTTAAAAACGCCCGAGGCATAATCCATGAAATAAATGAATCGATTCCTGCAATATTATTTTTAATCAGTCGTAGAACGCAGTGGCCCTTGTCAAAATCAAATGTTGTATCACGAAACGAAAGTGACAAAAAACAAAAAAAAATGATCGAAGGAATTTCGTCGTGGAATTGCCAGTACTGCTCGCGTAGGCATTTACAGCCGTCGCCGCCACCACCGCCACCCCACCTCGGAGAGAAAATAGCCCATTAAGCGGAGGGTTAAAACGCTAGAAGCAAGAGAAAGCGAGAAATCGACGGAAATGTCTGCTTGCGCGAGGGAGGGTGATGCGCGCGCAGACGCGTAATATCTCCCTTTTCAACCCCTTGAGTGTGCAGCGCGCAAGCCCACAAGCATCCCCTCTCGAGCTGTGTCGTCGGACTACTCTGCTATACGCTCTCTTGTTCCATCCTCTGCGCAGCAGCAGTCCAGTAGTACGTGTGCAAGATATCTCGCACCTACTATACTGCTGGCGGTGTACTCGTCGTCGTCGTCGTCGTCGACATGGCCTCTCCGTCGTGTCGCAGTCGCGCGTAATAGTCCAGCCGCAATATGGAAACGACGTTGCCTCCTGGAGGTGCTGCCGATCGGCTGTCAACCTGAGCTTCGAGAGCTCGAAAAAGTGCTGCAAAACAAACCAAATACGCGATCGATCGCGGTATCAGTGAAAAACAGTGTGTGCGAAAAAGCTCAGGGTGAGAAAAAGGGAGCCGCGCTGCTGCTGCCGCCGCGAGAGGCGCCACCCCCGCTCGTGTCGTGTGTAGCACTCAGCAGTCAGAGAAAGAGAGACACGAGTCGATATATCGAGGCTCGACAACGACATTGTGTGTGTGTCTGTGTGCGTGCAACGTATGCTTGACTTTTGAGGGTGAGTATTTGCGAGCGACGATCGCGTTCTCGATGCTATACTAAGATTTCACAACGAGAGACGCGTGTGCTCGATTAAAAAAAAAACGGAAGCGACGAATATATGGCTCCGGGTAATCGTACGTGCCGTGGAGGTAAAATCGTCCAGAGCCCTCCCCAAAAGGCTTGACCCGTCGCGCGCTCGCTCACGTATTTGCGCAGACACGTACACGTATACGTATACACACGGGGGTTGGCCTCGCGCGAGATTCACTGTACGTATGCGCGTGTGTCTGTATGTGTGTGTGTGTGTAATGTGCACTCGCAGCTAGTCTCTCTCTCTATGTCGCGCGTCCCGCTTTCGAAAGCTCGCGCAAAAGCTCGTGGAAAGCTCCGAAGCGCGCACCGAGTATAGCGTATAAAGAATTCATAATAGGTGGGCGAGAGAGAGAGAGAGAAAGATATGCAGCATCAGCTCTTTCTTTTTCATAAATGGAGCATACATATGGAAGGCGAATGTGTGCAGTGTCGTCGCGCGAAAGCTCGAATACATGTACACATAGTCGTATACCATGGCACATTGATTCAATGAGAGAAATAGCTTTAATTGTAATATAGGACAGAGCTGTCACGATTGACGCGCGTGACGCGTCTTCTAATGCGACATGTGCATCGACAAAGAGAGAGAGAAAGAGAGATGAAAGTGATACCATATATCGGTCGTGAATGATTATTTTTATCAACGACGTCGGCGGCGGGGGGACAGCGGGCGAAGGTCAAAGTGTCACAACTGGCTCGAACTCGCGCGCGCGTTAATATCATTATACATTGTTGCATCGATATCGCGTACAATACATACAACGGAGCTCTCGACGAAGCTTTTTTTCCACCCGATTAAAGGGTATCACGGATTTTCCCGTATATATATACAACGCGGCCCGTGCGAATTATCGATTAAACTTTGTGGTACGTTGCGAGTGAGAGAGAGAGAGAGAGAGAGAGAGATGTTCGTGTGGAGTATACAAATTCTATTATAACGCAATCGCGTTCGGAGGCATTTATGCATGTATACGTGCTGCATATATGCATTAGCGTGGGTATATACGAATCAAGGTGCCACTCCGATATTCCGACGGCCGCTCTTAATGAAGGAATATTTTCATTATTATCATTGTTGCTGTTGCTGCTGTCCTCTTTGTTGGGGGAGCAATCCGGTGCACGCGATCCAACTCGAACCTTTTTTTTGGTACTCCGTATTTGTAAGAGTGTCTGCGTATATACGCGCACACACACACCCGCGTTTCCCGTGCGCGACTTACATAACTTCATCCACGCGAAGAGCAAAAGCAAAAAAAAAATTACCGACTCGAGTTTTGCTGTCGTTTGTATAACACACACGCGTGTATATAGTCTGGGAGCTCGTGTGTATAGCAATGAAATTCGAAGCGTCGGCAAAGATATTGTGTGTCGGAGCACAGACGGCGTGTGCGGACTCGGCATATTTTTTTATCATATACTCATTACTTATCGCGAACGAAAGCGCGCAAAGAGGGTTCGCGTAAGTCTCGCGTGGTCTTCGCGTCAAAGGGATAGGAAAAAAATCGTAAAATTAAACGGATTATATGACACTGGATATAGTTAGTCGTACGTTATACGTAATATACGACCAGAACAGTTGATCTGTTGCTTCGCGCGTCGCGATGTACGCATTCGTACTCATACACGATACAACATGCTACGACTTCGGCCTCTCTGCAAATCGATATAAACCCGTACACACGAGAGCCTGCACACAACGCCGTTCACATGTACGTGCGTCCTGCAGTGTGTTATATATACATCGAGTCCCTTTCGTGTCTTTAACGTGACTCCGCGCGCCGCGATAAGAATAGGCCAATTTCGCCCAGCTTAGTTCGCGTGCAAGCTCTCTCTCTGTCTACTGCAAATTGTATACCACGCAAAAGTACTGCGTAATGACTCGTTTATATGTATACTCGTGCGGCTACGAGCGTGTTTGTCAGAATGGAAATAATTTGTCCGACGAGAATGAAAGAAAGAAAGAAAGAAAGGAAGGAAGCGAAGAATTTATTGCCTTGTCTATCCTCGATTAATGAAGTTCGAAAAGCTTCGGCGCGGAGGATTAAAAACCGATCGAGCTATTTGAATCGCAATTTACAACTACTGCTCCAGTTACTCAGACGAAATCTTTGTAACAATTATCTTTTCTATCATTCCAGATTTTACCGCTCGACTAGCAGCGTAATCTTTGGTTGGAGGAGAAGAAAGAAGAAGAAAAAGGGGGGCAAGAAACTTCCGATATATATCTATACGTATATACACACGGCACAGACATAGAGCTCTAAGTGCGTGGCGCGCTGTGCTGGTTCGGGAATCGCATGCGCTTGGCATCGGGGAGGCCGCCGTCGCCGCCACCATCGCCGCCCTCTTCCATAAGTCGCTGCTCCGCTGCTGCTGCCGCTGGTGACTCATCGTCGTCGCGGCGCCAGAAGAAAGCAGAAATCGCCTCGTGCTGCACATCGGCAGCAAAGAGTAGCATTGCCACCACCATTACCGCTACTACTACTACCTCTACCACCTACGACTCGCGACTCGAGCGGCTGAGCAAGACGATAATCGCCTTGTCGAGGCTCGACGCGGTGCGCGGCTTCGCGGATGCCTCGCTCGTTCTGCTGCTCGCTCGATTCGTCGCGATTTTAGTGAGATTCTGGCGGAGAGTCGTGCGGTGAAGTAAAAGTGCATCAAACGTGTGTGTGTGTGTGTGATTTACAAAAAAAAAAAAAAGGTTCAGTGCTTCTCGTGACACGTGCGAAGGTTTTTCATCGAGTTGTACACACGAGTGCTTCGACTTTCGACGTTTATAACTCGAAGACGTAGAAGAACAAAAACAGGCCACTACCATCGACGGACACACGCGCGCACTTATATAGACAAGATCAACAGCGTACTCGACCCAATACTTTAACGCGGAGTACAAAAGATAAAACACGGTCAGCATCCGACAGAAAAGAAAAACAACGGCAGCGACTGGCCGCAAATAGAATGAGCAACGAACAAAATAATAGAGAGAAAGAAAAAAAATCGAAGAATCCATAAGGGCACGAACACGACAGTCTACATCGGGCGAATGTCATGAGCAACTCCGACTATATACCGTGTATAGGGGAAAGAGCAGCAGCATGGCACGACTACCACTAGTCGCTTTCCCCTGAGCTGCTAAAGAGAGAGAGAGAGAGAGAGAGAGAGAAAAAGCTTAGCAGTGGTGTATAGTAGCGCGAGGGCAAGGAGCTCGCTCGCTCGCGCGGGGGTGTATATTATATATATCATTGTATATATACACCGCAACGATCGCGTCTGTGTATCGACCGCCTGGCGCTTAAGCTCGCAGATATATACACGGATAAACATAAAAAAAAAGCTCTCGAGTGGAGTGTGTGTGTGTGTGTCAGTGCTGTGCTGCGTGCGTCTGTACGTCCGTGCTCCGTCGCGCGCTCGTGAGCCGCGACACGGAGCAGGACTCAAGAGCCAAGTACCAGCATGAACGTGAGTATTGTACATCGCCAATCGAATATCATCTTGTTGCCGTGTATTGTTCCTTACTTTCCTTGAGTTACGGCGCGATACGGAATACGTTTACCCTTCGTCTCTATCTATCTATCTCTCTCTCTTTCCTTTGTGTTACGCACCTTTCGCGTCTGCACACCAAAGGTATATAAGCCTTTGAAGCTCGTCGCTGTTGGTACTGCTTAATTCGAAATACATAGCTTTGATATAAACAGGCAACCCTTTGGCCGTAAATCGAGCCCGCGGCACTGCGCGCCGTTGTACTTCTTTCGTCAAACGTCGAAAAGCTTTTATAAAGCTCGCTGCCGGGGCTTTTTTCGTAATGCACGCGACGAGGCCTAGATCGACGAACGCGCGCGGGAGAAGCTTTTTAGTGCAGCATAAACTTCATTGAGATATGCGCGTGCCGCGATATATATCCGCGAGAAAGAGCGAGAGAGAGAAAATAATAATAAAGCTCGCACTATGTGCGAAGTCTACGAGATATTTGGATGGACGTCTCGCTCTCTCGACGCGCGCTGGTCGCGAGTCGCAGCTAGCGTGTGCTCGGAATAACTATATTACCCCCGCCCCGTACAAACTCGCGCACATACACACGTGTGTATTACGAACTGTACTGTATATCAAAAGCGCGAAAATATGTCGGCGCGTGCGGATATTATGGGCGCGTCTGCAGTACCTTAACGACGACGAATTTGCAGCGCTCATTATTATCGTTGTTATATTATGCGAGGAAGGGAAAGAATTTTAATTACGAGGCCGTGGCCTAGCGTAGCTCTTCTTCTGCTTCTTCTCGGAGATTTTCGATTTATTTACGATGCGCGCGATCCATCGGAGCAATTAATTTTAGCCGCGCGGAGAAGAAGAATTTTCAAGCACGCGCGAGCGAGCGAAGCCCTACATAGAATCATATTTATTCATTCCAATTTCGATGATTTTGAGAAGCGTCAGTCGGTTGCGATTTATTTCCATAAATCGAGCTTTAAAGCGTCGTTATAAGGTCGCGGAGATGATAATTTACAAAAGCCACGAATAACTGTTTTATAACTGACACGTGATTTTGTTTATGTTCGCGTGGATGATCGGGCGGTAATGAATGAAGAAAAAAACGACGGGAACTTGAAGAGAGCGAAAGAAAGAGAGAGAGAGACGAAATGGTCGTTGTTCAAAAGCACATATGGCAATAAAATAGGTGAAGAATATGTCGAGCTTTGTGTAATTTATACGTGGTATGCGCGCGACCTGGGAAAAGTGCCAAAATGATCGTATGTAGAGCCTAGAAAGAATGTGTGCTGCGGCGCGCGTCCCATGTTTTTTTTTTCGTAAAAATATACCGATGAATGCAGCGATTCATTCGCGACCAGAGATTATAGTTTTGGTGAAACGTCACGCGAACTGATTTTCATTTAAAAATCATACAAACCACTTCGGGGTTTTATAATGTAAATTTTTTCTCTCCCACCGAAGCCGCTTCGCATGAATCTCGATCGACCTCGCTCGCGCCGCACAAAAGTAAAAAATCCTCTCGCGCTAAATTATTCAGAGCGCGAACGAGCCGAGTGCAGTAATACACAAATCCACGTTCACTTACACTCCGCAACGCTATAAACGCTTTAACTTTTATAATCGGACCGTATTGTAAATTTCTCGACTTTATAAGTGCCCGGAGAGAGAGAGAGAGAAAGAAATTTATCCTATTTTCTCTCGCGAGTCTTGTAGTGTATTTCAGCCGCGCAGCCCCCGGCTTTCCCCGAAAAGTGCACTCCAGCAATAACCCACGCGGGAGAGCGAGAGAGAGAGAGAGAGAGAGAAAGAGAGTAAAGAAGCTCTTTTGTCGGACTCTTGCTGCGTTTACCCGCGCGCGCGCGAGCAACTTAAGCTCCAAAAATATACCGACCTTTTATATTACGTTCACGTGTGAACACACATGTGTGTGCAGTACGCAGCAGCAGCAGCAGCAACGGCGTGTCAGGATGAAATTTTCGTTAAAATAGCCCTCTCCAGAAGCTATACGCGAAGGCGCACAAAATAAATTCGTATTCTACCCAGGACAGAGAGAGAGAGAGAGAGAGAGAGAGAGAGAAACGGAGAAAATCAAGCAAAGATCGCGGCGTGGTTTATTCGTAAAACAAGAAACGCAGCCATCCCTGAAAGCGCCGAAGTAAAACAACATTTTAAAGACTCCATGCGCACGACATTTTGCGCTTGTCACGTTGTACGCGCGTTTTTAAATTAAACCGCATCGCGTCGTGTTTTGCATATTGCACGATATGTTTGTTCTGCGCATAGCTATAAGGCAGATGCCTATGTTATATATCTATAACTCTCAATTTTTCCTATATTAATCTATGTTTTTCTCGACAATTGTCATCTTACAGATACTCGCTGCATCGGAGGTCATCCGATCGAACAACGCGGATCATCGTCACAATGGTGAGTCAGAATATAACAATGCTATTGTATATATACAGTCAACGCAAATACAATAATGATATACATTCTTTGCTAATAATGACTGCACTCGTGTACTCGATCCGAGCTTTGTCCCTGCCTCGCGAGTCGCGATAAGCTCGTTTCAAACAAAGTCGGGGAAATCCTCGCGACTATAGAGCTAAAATCGAGAATTTGGTCAATGCATCGTACGCGTTTGGCTCGCACACGCATCGCGGTTAAAGGCGCACGCGACGAGAAAGAGATTATCGCGACGAGAGACGCTCGCGCAGCGGCCGAGTTCTTTGACCCCGCGTACAGAGAGAGAGCTGTCAGCGAGTTTTATAACTCATCGCTCGCATAAGCGGGCCGCCGTGAGAGCATACGCATCGTATGATATTGTACTGCAGGCAGTTTCTTCGCACTCCCGATCAAAGAAGTTCCTTGTACACGTCGATGAGCACTGCGTGCTAATACCGCATGACCTATATCGCATAGCGTCGAGCTCGTTTTCGAGTTTGATGCAGACGAGGCCCTTTTTCCATTGCGTTGACCTGCGGGATAATTTTTTCGAACGAGTTCACATTTTATATGTCTACCTTAAGCATGTAGCTAATACAAAATGTTTAAATTGACCTCGTTAAATAGACATCAGCTTGGAAAAAAAGTCCATGCGAGCTTTTCCAAATATTATGCATCGTAAATCGTGTCCGCGCGCTAAAAAAAGCTCTCGTCTGTCTAGGCATTGGCTCTACACACATAAGACGGGTCTTGGGTTTTACAAGCGTTCTCTCTCTCTCTCTCTCTCTATAATGCTGCACAGCATGTGCATAAGCGTATACGAACGGTAAACAAGTGCCACGCGGAGCGACGTATGTGCGGCGTATGCACGTTTTGATTTTTTATTCGCTTGGATATCTTCCAAAGCTCTCGCTTGTAAACTGCAAGCTCGAGGCTGTATTGGCCTTTGGGAGCACATGCGTCCGTGGACGTACGAGAATATACACGTTCAAGCTACAAGAGCAAATTGTTACAAAAAGAGAATTCTGATTATCGTACATAGCATCTTAAGGGGAAAAATCGAGAATCATTCATTTATTTTACATCTATCAAAAAAAAAAAAAAAAAAAACAAAAGTAAAGTGGGCGCAGCGGGCCTCGCCCTGGTTCCCAGCTCAACGGCCGAAGCGTAGCGTCGTCTTCGTCGGCTCCCCGCGTTTGTATCCGCGGGGAATCGGCACAACGATGTGACATCGCGACTCGAGCCGCGAATGCCGAACTGCGGCACTTTCGGCGAGTCCCCTTTAGCCGCCGAGTCGGGGAACGATCCCGCGACACCACAAAGCCGCCCAAATGCGAATACCTCAACGTAGCCCACACGGCTACGCGGCGGTTTGTATACACAGAGGCTTAATTGCTTGTCTTGGCTCGTGTCCTGCGAAAAGTCGCGACTTTATCTTGTAGGTATGAGCGATGACAAGTGCTGTAACTGAGTCGTGCGACAGATGTCGTAGTGATCGGACGAGACTCGCGTCTTTCAGAATCGTCATCTCACTGATGATCGCTTCATTTAAAGTTTTTTATTGATACATGCAACGAGTCAAGCATAGAGTCAGAAAAATGGAACTAGCAACCAAGGTATACGGGGCCAGGAGAAAGACTTTCGGCGATCGGCAGCGGCGAGGCGTTAAATGCGTTACAATTCACCGAGCCAATTCAGCGGTACATTGCGGTTTCTCTTTTTATATATACCTATATATATACGGCAAAATCAACCGATTGCCAGTTCATCGTTAACAACATGAGCTATTGATAGATCGAGGGAAAATGACGCGGCAGAAATGTCACAGCGTACCGCGTGCGTTTCTATTTATATTATAAAAAGTACTTTGTACAAATAGTGAAAGTAAACACCGTACAAATTTTTCTTTGTCAAAGCGAACGATTGTATCGAAGCACTTCTTCGAGAGGATTTATATTCTGGATAGCTGCAAAAATAACTGTTCGGTAATCACGGCGAGATCGAAAGTCGCGCATTTTTTGCTGTGAACTGAACGTTTTCGAGGGCGAATAAAAATGTTCAGAAAAGAATCGACGTAGAAGAGGTTCTCGACATTAAACTTAAGCGTTGTAATCATGTTCTGTTCTCACGTGTTTATGGAGATTATTCCCGATTCCAATTGATTTGTCACAACGTTCACAATCGAAGGCATTGCTTCGATCATGTACTACATTTACGAAGCCGCAAGACTGGTAAAAAATATCACGTTCAAAAAGTTTGCAACGATTGACATTTTGTTCGCATTTGCTAGTGACGCCGTTATGCTCCGCGTCCATGTGCATTTTGAGCTTATTTGTCTGCGGAAATTTTCTCTGGCATATATGTCTCGCATTTGAAGTTGACGCTCAAGTGCACCGAGTCGACGTGAATTTTCAGACGATCCTTGGTCGAAAACGTCCTGCTGCAGGCGTCGCAGCGATAGGTCGCGATACGATCGTGCATCGTCTCGACGTGCCTGCGCAGATAACTCATCCGTTTGAATTGCTTTCCGCACTTGTAGCACGGATGCCTGCGAGCATTGTGCACCGAGTCCACGTGAGTCGCGAGATTGCCCTTCTGCGAGAATTTCTTGCCGCACGTGTCGCACGTATGGGCCTTGGCCATGTGCACCGACTTCGCGTGGCTCCGGAGATTGCCCTTGGTCGTGAACGTCTTTTTGCAAACGTCGCACGGATGATCGATCTCGTTGTGCGCCGCGTCCATGTGGATCTTCAGACAACTCTTGCTCTTGTACTTTTTTCCGCAGACGGATGGCTACGGCTCTTGCGCGTGACCATTTTGCGTCCGCGAGGCGATCTGCCATTTGCCGGCACGTGGCTCTGAACAGAATTAAGTTACGTGACGACTTTGTGAAGCATATTTAACGCATCGAGACCAACTTACTCGCGTGACTTCTTCCTGAAATTGCGTAAACGGAACCTCTTCAAAAAGCTCCTCGACGTATACTTCAAAGTTAATATCATTCAGCATGACATGATACCTTACCAGCACACAATACCTTTTCGCGTCTCTCGGTGCAACAAAGCTGCTATACCCTTAGCGTCGCGATTGGTCATCGTGGCGGGCGACACGACGGCCGAGAAGAGTATAATATGCAGGCCACGAGCTGCAGCGAAGACAGTTAGCAACGCAAATGTTGCAGAGAGGGTGGATCGTGATATAATTGTAATTATAATTAGTTTCAATCGTGTCCGGGGTGATCCAAGGGCTTTCAGCAGCAACAAAAAAAAGTAACAAAGTTGAAGTAAGAATTAAAATAAAGAGAGAGAGAGAGAAAGAGAGAAATAGAGATCTGGGTGTACAAGTGCTTGGACCCGATAAAGAGGGGAAAATGAATGAAAAAAAAGCTACCGGCATTTCACTGCTTACTTATCTGACCGAGATCTTTGGCGAACATTGGCCGGATCGAGAAATTGAGAGGTGTATATTTATCTATTGCCACTGTTAAGAGGAATATGGGATTTTGGAAAGTGGACAAAAAAACCAACATAAAACTGATGATATAAAGTCAAAAACACTATTATTATGCATTCTTTGTTTCACAATTATATACAAATCGGTTTTCATACCTAATAATCAATATCAAATAAAATTTCAAATATTTTTACATTTTTCTGAATATTTCATTATTTAAACAAAAACGTCGATTATAAAAATGTTTAAAAAAATTTTTAAATATAGTTTAAAAAAGTAATAACAAACGTAAAAAAATAAACTGATTTCAATATTTAAAAAAGCGCCCACTGACAGAGATGCCCGTTGATATTTCTCCTTTATCTGTAACAAAGAGAAAACAAAGTTGCGATTATTACATGATATTATTGATGAAACAAATTAACAATATTCAATGCACCGTTGTTATTATTATTATTATTATTATTATTATTATTATTATTATTATATATCGATTCGTATACGCTCGAGGCATATAAATTGGCAAAAATTCAGGCGTAAAATCAGTTGCTCAACATCAAATCATAATTAGCATGCTCGTGTGATCCTCGGCGAGCTCGCGCGATCACATTGACCGTTGCCGTCGTCGTCATTCGATGCATGCTCACAGAGCCGCCCAGGTCATTCGCGTAATTCAGCAAATTTGTGACAGAGCACGAATTGATTCAGAGAGCAGCAACAGAGATTGAGAGAGAAAGAGAACGAGAAAGACTCGTGTTCTCTCGATAGATAATAGCGAACGCTCGCCGAGCTTAGACGTTTCTCTCTCCTCTTAGAAACCAGCCCAATTATTTATTTATATTTATGGGAATATGAACCGACCAGAAGCGACATGTGTTGTTGTCTCCTCGGTAGCCGCTATATTTTGAAAAATCTAGCCTCATAACTTTTACTCGCGCGCGATCACGTATATTATTACTATTATTTAAAGTTAGCTTTGAGTTTTTTTACTATATTTACCTTAGTTATAAGGCTCATATGATGTATGTTCATGATCAGGATCTTTTATTAATCTGAATTTCCACGTATTGTGTCCATTTACGGTGGTGAGCCAATATCCAACGACTTTGTAAACTCCAGCGTATTCATAAATACGATCACGTATTTGTTTATAAACTCTGACGGGACCGCCGTGTCTCCATGCATTAGCAACAGTAAGGCTTCCATCCTCACAAAGTTCTACATTACAGTTTCGTGCTAATGCTCTGGTCTTGTTGGTCATAGTAATTTTATTAGGATCTGATCCACGTTGGCCACAGTATACGATTACATTTCCACTGTCAAGATCACCCTTGAATTTACGAGACAAAATAATAGAATAGGCTTGATTTCCTGGGTTTGCATATATTCCACACTGCTTTTCTCTATGAAGTCCATATTCAAATAATTCGCGTCGAGAAAATTTCCTTCCAACATCGTATCCAGAAACTGGTCCTACGAATCTAAGTCTATTTATTGTTAGTCCTGGGGGCATTATCATCACCTACCCAAAAAAAAAGAAATACGTCAAAGCTCGCAGTCAAGATGCTCTTGAAAAATGTAATAAATAAAATCGACCAAGCGTTTTACCTCGATTGTGTCAAGGGCTCTGATATTGAATCTGGTAAGATTGTAATCGGCATCAAGATATCGATCATTGAAAAAAAGCAGCAGCCGTTTTGATGGGACATTGAGCCTACTTGCAAGCTCTTTTTTTAGCCCCTCGACCTTCATTCTCTTATGGAATTCAACGTAATTAACAGAACTACCACTTAATGTCTGACATCTCAAATACGTCATTTTGACGCGCGAATCAAGAAAATTATTATTAGATTACACTTTGTACAAAGTAACAAAAGTCCCCGTGACAGTTAGCTTCACAGAGCACCACGACCGCGTGTACGTGAAAAAGCGACAGAAATGACGACAGCCAATGCCGCTGGTGTGCCAACCGACTGATTATTGGCGGCAAAAGAGTCGCGCGCTTATGTTGTTGCCCCGTCTCATAGTAATTCGTATCACGTGGCTCTCGAGTAGGGCAGGTACAAACTCAAAGGGCGTCAACTCGTAACGTATTATTATATAGTAATTTAACACGATACTTAATGATCAATTTCTTAGCTATAATATCAATGAAATCAAATTAATTCCATTAGAATTCGACAAGCTGACAGTTCCATATTTCAAACTGTTAGTCCAATAAAATATTTAATCATTCAACGAAAAGTTTAAATTACAGCTTTTCAGAACGAGTAGATGTGAATCTCGCACCGAGCGAAGAGGTCCGTAATAGAGAGAGGGTAGAGAGTATGACAAATCTCACATTCGAAAGGTCGATTGTGACCATGTGCTACATTTATGTGAACTTTGAGGATATGCAAGCGGCCATATGACTTGTGATAAATGTAACATTCAAAAGGCTTGCTACGATTATGTACTAAATTCGCGTAAATTTTGACTTCGCCGTTTTACCCAAATGATTCGTGACTAATCTCAAAAATGATGGGTTTTCTACGAATGTGTACCGCAATAATGAGTACTTTTAAGGTTCGCTAGTGCGATATCGCTATTGATAAGTTACTTATTGCGGCGCAAACATTTTCTTACGCGCTCATGTAAATTCGTCTTAGAAGCTACGAAAAACCCCAAGAGCATTGATAAACATGGAAAAGAGTACATTGGGATCGAGGAAATACATTATATACGCACGATAGGACGAGATCAATTATAAATGGTCGAACGATTTGTTGCAGCCGAACGTTAAGAAAATATCTGTCCCGTAAGATTTTCAAGAATCCCTCTCGTTCGTGCGACAAAAGCTTGCAAAAGCTCTGCGGGCCCCTCCGCGGGATCCAACATCGCACGCGTAGTTCGTGTACATAATATATAGTTCCAAAATCAGCCTTGTACAATAAAATCACGCGGTGGTCGTCGAGCGAACGTGCTTCGACACGATCGCTTTACGTAGAAATAAACAAAAACCTATACTGCAAAAATAAACCCATGCGCAAAAAGTACATAAAATGAGCTGCGCGAGCTCTCGTGCCGTATGTTCGCGCGCTCTAAGAGAGCAAAAGAGGAAGTTAAATAGGCACGAGTACACACACGCACACATAATACAGCACGAGACTCATGTGCGTGTATGCGTATAAAGACACACATTGATAATAATCGTTGCAAGGGGTGAGCGAGCATGTGTGTAGCTTTGTACGTTCTGCATGTGCTGCTGCTGCTGCTGCTGCTCGCGCGCTTGACTCGCTCAACGCTATACTGCCTATTCCACCTATTAATAGCTATTAAAGCTCGTGCGTGCGCGTCCCTCTCTCTCTCGTACCGACTCGAACTTGGTCGCGGAGATGCGTGAGTTACATATAGTCAGCATCGTCGTCGACGAGAGCTGCCGCTGCCACCGCCATCTCTTCGCGCAAATATCGTGCGTGCATGTGTGTGTGTGCGCGTGTATGCAAACGCACAGTAGCAGAGGAGCAGTGTCTCGCGCTGCGTATACAATATCTGCACGTCTCTCGGCGCGCGAATCAGTCTTTATTCCGAGGCCGGACGCGCGCGACCGATACCGAAAAGTGCATATATAATATATATATATATAGTTCGAGCCTGCTGTACATGTGATGCGCGTGTGAGTGTGCGATAGGCGAAACGCTTCGCTCCGTTTTACGCGAGCACGAGATGCAATTATACGGTGATGATCGTGATGATGTATGTGGCTGCGAAGTTCGTGACAAGATGTATAGTGACACGATAATGTGATCCAGGCGAGAAATAAGAAGAATACTTGAACGCGTGTTTTTATACAGTGACAGCAATTGTGCACGAGTACTAGACAACTTTAGTCAGCGATGACGTGAACTGGACCGTATATAACATAGTTTATAGGGTAAAATATATAATAATGGCCGATTCGTGGATCGAGATCGAAAAACGCGGGCTTACTACGAGTGTTCGAGTATAAACGAAACTACTCTCTGCACGAAAAAGAATAAAAGAATTCGGAGAGTATGCTGGTGTGCGTTTGTATGTGTAATATATATGGGCAAAGTTTAGGGCGTAAACGCGCGCGAGCTTGCAGCACGAAACGCAACGCAACGCATGAAACATCAGTCTCTCCTCCTCGCTCTTTGAGAGTCTCTCTCTCTCTCTTTCTCTCTGAGCTCTCTGGTCGTTCTTGGAACTGCCAGGCTTGAATGTCCGACCATGTATAAATGTGTGTGCGTTCGTGCTCTAACAAAAAGAGCCAGCCGCAGCAGCAACTAAAGAATATCTTATCGACGTCGGCGAGTTGGTGCTTTTTTTATTTTAAAACATGCGGCGGCGGCCGTCATCTAGTTTTAGTTTCTCTTATTTTCCAATGCTTTTTAGAGCTTTTCGGAACAAATAGAGAAAAAAATGTCGACACTCCGAGCTCGCGCGAGTGCGTAAATTATACAGGCATTCGATATAATACAGACAGCGTTTGTACGAACGAGTGTGCGTGTATTGCGTCGATCGACGGCGCGAGCTTTTGGCTCGGAATGTCGTGTTTATACGCGCGCGTGCGTTCATCTGTATGCGTGTGTGTCGCTGCGTAAAGCTCGCGCGGGATGAAATCATCGGAGAATTTCTGAAAATTGCGCGTGAAACTCGATTTTAGGTCGCTTCGTATTAAACTTCACAGCAGCAGTAGCAGCTCGAAAATTCCAAGTGCCTCGTCCCCCTCCACGATATATAACGACGAAATTGACGATAACGAGTCGCTGCTGCTGCACTGGCAGCTATATATAAAGAGCTTTCGTACATTAAAGTCGGTATCGCGCGGCTCGAGTCACGCGAGGTCATCCTCCATGTACTACGCTCATCTTGTATATAAACCGTGTCTGCCGCCGCTGCTGCTACACACACACACACATTTTATATTGCCGAGCGTAAAGGATAGAAACGACAAGCGACGATGATGAGTCTTCATTAAAGTTCGCTGCATCAATTTTGCTCCGTGCAGCCAGTCGCTGCCACTCTCGAGCCTACATTATATTACACGAGCCGTGTGTGTATATATGTTTTTTTTACATATATTATTCGACGACGCTGACGCTCGATATTCTTTTTGCAAGCTCGACACGTTTTATCGAAAAACTCACACGAGCGCGATATATTAATATTTTAATATGTATCTCGCATTTATTTCAGTAAAGTAAAGATCCCACGATGTATCTAGAACGTTAATGTAGATCGTGAGCCTTTTTGCGTCGAGTTACATGTGGATGCGTGCGCGGACGTTAAGCATATTGCCCTCTGACGTTTAGCGAGCTTGACCAATGACGCCAAATTCCCGTCAAGTACACATCTATCATTTTCGTGACGATTGTACGATTATTATTATTTTTTTTTTTTTCGTTTCATCGCGATCGATAATTGTTAAATGTCTTCGAATTAAAACGATTTTCCATCTTTATCGTCAATCTGACTCTCGAAAAGGCGAAGAAAATAAAATTAAGCTCTACTAGAAAGTTAAGAGTTTCGATGTTATATTACGACAGCTCACGCGCGCGAAACGTGAGTTTTAATTCTGGACAGTTTGATTTTTGCGTACACCGAAAATAGCATCTCTCTCACTCGGTTCTATATTTGATCAAACAAAAGAAAATACGTCCCCCGCTGCATCCGATTTCTGTTGTGTGTTGTGCTTACAGTTGCTGGCTCGCCTACCGGAGAGTTTTGAGAGAGAGACCGAAAGGAGGCATAAAAAAAATATATGCGTAAGACCTCTCGAGCGAAGCTTATCTTCGATTCGTTCTTTTCATTACTCTTTGTTCGTTTTTCATCACCGCACACATGCCGAGCTTTCATTACAGCCAATTCAGTCTGACAACTTGACACGGCTGCTGCCACTCTCGTATATGCATAATCTAAGATATTGCTCGGTCCGGAGATCTTTCGAGACCGATCGTGACATTTTTTTTCGCTCTTTCTTTTTCATATCGCAGGCCTGCGTATGTACATATACGTAGAGAGCTTTATTAGTTTTCCGCGCTGATTTTTCGAAGGCGGAAGGAAGAAATACGACGCCTGTGCACATGCACACACGCGTTCTCACGACGTCATTTTACAACACACGTTATAGGCGTGCACGTGAATAGGCGACGTTGTTCCATTCTGCTCTTTTTTCTCTCTCTGTCTGTCTCGTTCTCTATACAGGTTTATTGCGACCGGGCGATAAGTTACGCAACTCGTCCGTCGTGCTCATGTGCGCACGTATGTACGCAGTATTTATATGTATGAGTGACCCGGGCCGGTGTTACATGTACGCACGACCTTTAACTCGCCGTCGGGGACATACGTATCGACGTTACCTTCGACGATCGGTTTCGCTGCTATTTTTTTTCCTTCGATTTTTCAATTTCCGATTCTTCGCCGAGTATACGCGTGCGGATGATGTTAATATCGATCGATTACCAATAATACCGATACTCGAGGAAGCGTCGGCTGCGTATAGGTAATTAATACACGCATCGTATTATATAGTCGCATTTGGGATTTTGGCCCGCGGCAATGTATACACGATACTCGAAAACAAAACGTCCGCTCCCAGATTTTTTTTTTTTTATAATCCGGGACTGCCTATGTATAAAAACGACGTCACGTGCGTGAGTGTGTGTATCGGCGAGTCGAATCGATGCCATCGATGCGGGTATTGCGATCGAGCGCGCGCCACCCGCAGAGACGGGGGCCGGCACTTTAATAGAGGCACAGCACACCGCACGCGAGCCGTTTATTTTCATTCCTCGCGCGGCGCACAACAAAAAGCTCCCGCGCTTGGATCAGAATGTACTTTCCATTCGACCGTGCATATATCTAGGTTTAGGATTCGAAACCATCAAGGGCGTGCACGATCTCGATGTGTATTCATAATTATAAATATCGACTGCCTATATTCGGATACAAATCGTTAATATTCACGGCCGGATTCGCTGTACACGTACATGGCAAGAAGGTCGAAGAGTCTTGGAAAGGAAGTGTACGAAAAAAAATACCATAAATGACTAATTAAAATTGTATCGCGTTCACGAGTAATTGGCTCGGCTATATATACACGTCTCGTTATAATCATAAAATTAAATTCTCAGCGGTCGAGACAATGAACAACGCAAAAGATTCCTAACGCATTCAAGAATCTCACCTTTTATAGTTCGGCTTTAATTCGATCGGTGAGCTTGTGCCATCCGAGACTCGAGTGCTGCGT